ATAATACAAGATAATAATATTCTAAGATAATAATAAATAATAAAATAATAAAATAATAACTAATTCGTTCTATAACACTATAAAACTAGTTATCTCTTTACTTTTGCTCTTGAAGTTATTCAACTTGATAACCCAGATTTATCTTGTTTTAAGTATTTTTGTAAAATTATCAAGAAAATTTTCTTGTATTAGATATAACCAACAAACTATTGATGCTTATTATATTTTAATCTATACTTGAGCTTATAATCCTGCTAGAGCAGCTATTCAAGATATTGTTTTTAGCTACCAATATAATAATCTTCAATTTAATTTTACTAAAACTATTACTTACTTTTTATATATCTATACACCTTTTAAACTTGCCCCAGTATTACCTATTAACTTTTCTTAAACTCTAATAGACTTATATATAGAATATTCTATATTTTATACTCCTTTTCGATTTAATCAAGTTAATCAAGCAATTATTGCTATATTTGAATATCTTTCTTTTATTATATATAACCAAGAAAACAAACTTGAATTTGTTACTTCTGCTATTACAAGTTTTACTTTTATATTAGCTTCTAAAGAATTAGATTAATCTCCTTCTTATTCTTTTTCATTACTACTTACAATGAAGATACAACTTAAATCAAACTTTTTTTTAAACTTAATTTACCTTCTTTTTTTTTTAACTAAAATACCTTTAGATAATTTTCTTCTTCATATTAATATAGTCCAACCTCTAGTACTTTACAACAACTTGGTAGAGTTGTTTGGTTTATCTGAGAACTTATTAATTAAGCTTTTGCTACCCAATTTCCTGTTATTACAACTTATCTTCTAGCTAATTTAGATAATTTTTTTTTAATTACCCCTTCTTATCTTCAACAACTACTTATTACTAACTTTTTTTCTTTTCTTTTAACTGAACTTGCTAACTATTAAATTATAAAAATTGGCCCAGAAGCTAACTTTAAATCAAACTTTTTTTAAAAACCTCAAATTATCTGAAATATACCTTTTATCTAGTAAATATCTTTCTAACAATGAATCTAAGCATATTTTTTTTTTTTTTTTTTTTTTTTTTTTTATTATTATTAAAGACCGATATCATGGTTGCTAATGCTTTATTGTGTTTATGTGTCTTATTACAAATATATTTGCTGACATATTGGTACATTAACGAGTGTACAACTAGTCACATGTGCAACTTTTGATTGCCTATTTAAGTAGTCCGCCTGAAGGTTCTACACTAGCTGCCATACCTGCAACCTACTAGGAGATTGCCTATTTAAACTCACTGATTTTCTGTACCCACCTAGCAATTAGCACCTAAATTTCTGTACAACAAGTGCTGTCTAACTTGACATATGGTCTCCCTTTCTGTGCTAGGGACCCAGGCCGTACCTCTATTACTAGAGTACGTCACCCAGTAGCAAGGCTCAGGGTGCCCTCTTGTTAACAACCTACCCACTCTACAGTCCTATCAACAGGGCTATGCTCTTGCAGAGTTCACCCAAACCCCGGTATCCACTTCACAGCATATCCCCAATACTTTGGTTTCTCTCTATTTTTAGTTCTAGACTATCAAACCAGATGGCCCGGAAGGACTGTGACCTGTCCCTGGTTCATCAGCTCTGCCATGACCTTTTCCTCCGGTTAACCCGGTGGCCTGGTTGGTGGACTAGCTTTACTACAAACCAGTCGTGCCCTGTCCAGTTCTTCTACTTCAGTTCCCCTTTTCTTGAGTCTAGCTTTTACAGTAGTACCGTCAAAGATCTGTGCTACCTCTCTGCTCGGAACTTCCCAAATGGGCTTCTGTCCTCCAGTTCTACAGATTTACACGACCTAGGGACTTATCTAGTGTTTGCATTGCCCATTGCCAGTTTGCATTTCTCCATGTAACCCAAAGTTGCACAGATACCCCAAACCTGCCAGTCTTGCTAGTGCGACCATAGTTACAGGTATCCTATCCCAACTGATCGATGAAGATGGTTGCCGTAACACAGATAATTATTCAAATTTTCCGTCGTCGGTGGGTTTCGAACTCTTGACCTGCCACTTGGTAAGAGTGACAACCTAACCACTACACTAGATCACCACACCTCTAAGAACATGATCTTATTTTAAATATTTAAAAAAAAAACTTGTAGAAAAAATTTTTAAAATACTAACAGTAGTTAAATCATTCAAATTGGTTTAGTAGATCCCAAGATACTTAAAATTAAAGATATAAATATAGAGATTTACAATTTTACTATTATACAAAAAACAATTGTCTAATAGATAGTTGTCTTTTGTATAATAATAACTTTATAAATCTATATATTTATACCTTTAACCTTAAGTGTTTTGAAATTTACTAAGCTGATTTGAATAATTTAATAGTAGAGTAAATAGTAACTATTTTTAATAATAATTATATTGTAATAACAAATTTGAATTGTAAACAATATTACCCATACCCTGGCTGCAAACTCAACTCTGTCTTATTAGCCACTGCACAGTCAAAGTTTCTACTACTATATTTGGGGGTGAGTCAATAGAAATCAAGCAAATTTTTTATAATAAATTTTTTTTATAACTTTAAACAAAAATAACTTGATGAAAACTTGACCAAATTTGATAAAAATTTTTTTAAATAATTTTTACAAACTTGTAGAATTATTTTAAAAAAAAATTTATTGAATTTGATCAAATTTTTGTTAAGTTATTCTTGTTTAAAATTTTAAAAAAACTAATTAAAAAATATTTGCTTGATTTTTATTGACTCAACCTCATTTACTCAATTCTTGAGCAAAAAAACAACTAACAAAAAATTTAAACTTAATGCCAATTATGTAGACCTGCTATACTCTATAGCAATTAATATCCTATCTCCATTCCACCTTCTCCTAATATTAATATTATTGACTTCTTAGCTTCAACTCTTTTTCATGATAATGAAGCATCCCAAAAACTAGTACAACATGCCCTTAACAATACAATACACAAACTTTTATATTTTATATAGATGGCTCGGTATTAGATATAGGTACTACTGACTGCTCTATAGGAGTAGGCTAGGTTCAAATAAACTACAACCAAATTGGTAGCAGCTTTTCTGCCAAGATCCTCAACTGGCCCTTATTATACAAAGCAAAGCTTCTGGCAATTCTATCCACTATTGCTACAGTACCTTGTAATGCCAAAGTAGACATATTTACAGACTCTCAGTCTATTATATCCAAGTATTACAAACTTCTACAAACCCTCCCAAATCTTCCAAATACTTTAAATTTAACTACTGGTCTATTTGGCACACACTTCTTAATGCAATTAAGGCTTTTAACATTTAGTTTACATTGTACAAAGTTCTGGCATACTCAAATAACCAGTTCAATAATACTGCAGACATCTTGGCCAAAAAGCACCAACACTTATCAACTCCTACCCTCTTGTTTATAATATATACAATCCACACTTCACAATCAAGTGGAAAGGCTACAATATAGAAAAACTGATATGACTATTTGTCAAGAATATTTGGAACACACACAATAGCACTATAGTTATCACAAAAGTGCAATACTGAATAGAAAAACTATACCCAAACAATTGACTAGAGCTCTACCTGGCTTTACTTAAACAACAACCAAAAAACTTCAGCTAATATTACATCACCCAAACTTAACCAAATAAAGGCATTGAGAATCAAACACCTGCTCAATGACCTGCCAACATACTTCCACTTTCACTACATCACCCCAACAATATACCAGAATAGTACCTGTTTCTTTTGTGATATACCGGACTTACCCAACTACTAGTTAAGCTGCCAAAGTTCTTCAGAACTTTTACAGATTATAAATACCTTTTTTACCAAAACAGTTAGCAAATGTATTAGCAGTCCAACCTTATTTAATAGCAGAGCAGTAATAAATCTAATCAAGTCTCACCCATTCTTTAACTATTTAGCTACTCTTCCTCTACACACATATCAGTTATCTACTACTCTTAAAGGCCTTATCTCTACACAACTACTTGAATCTCTTCAAATGCTAGATCTATGATACAATGAGGCTGCTAATATCATAATACAAACACTACTTCTTGTATTTGCAGAAATCCATGAACAAATCTAGAAACTAAACTGTGACAAATTCACAAAATAGAAAAAACAAAACAACATACCATCTCCAAATGGAGCTACACCAACTGGTTTACAAGTCCACAACTATATTAAGTTACAATAAAGAAGGTTTGGCTACAACTGTCTCTGTGGTATAGCTGACCAACTACATGAAGACAACAGTACATACTCACGAAAGGACTAGCCTAGCTAAAACTTGACCAGTAGTCCATGGTGTAGATTCAATTTAGCATACATACAAACCAGATATTAACCATTAAAATCTAGGTCTTGACTTCTCTAGTAGGTTTAGGTCGCAGATAGCTAATTTAGCTATAGCCAAGTTTTTAGTCTGAGCTCTCATTCTTGCATATAGATTATATAATCTTTGTTTTTATACAAACTAAGTTATTACTATGTAATTACTTGTACAAACTACCCAATAAAGATATAAGCAAGACCTCACCTTAATACCAAAAAAAAAAAAAAATTGTAAACAATATTGATTTAATTAATTAGAATTACCAATTTTTATATAATTTAAAGAAATTTAAATTAATTTAAGTTTTTTTTACCAATATATAAAGGTAGATTTTTTTAAATAATATATAGTTTAAAATTTTACTATAAAAAATTCAATATTTTAAATTGAAAATAACTAAATAAACACCTAGTGTTGAAACCCACATCACGTGATAGTATAAATATTTACGATGATTGGTATAATGTAGATATATAAAATAATACTGTAATATGCAGTAGTATATGATAGATTATAAGCTTGTGATGTGAAAATGATATAATACTAAACAATATAAACTGATAAAATTAAAAAAACAAAAGTTAGTCTTTTGTCTAGAAAAACATTAAAGCAAAAGTAAAAGTTCAATACTTATCTGAAACGCATGAAAACTAAGAAGTGCATATTGAAATAAGTGCTTGACACAATAGATATATTGACTTTTTATAGTAACTCTGATTAGATATTAATGGCTGTGGTAAAATTCTATGACCTTTAGTCTTTATCTTCTGTACTTTCTATAACTTTCTCATATCTCAAAACTTTCACAATACATTCATACATTATTTTTAGCAGATACCTCTTAATTTTGAACCAGACAATGCAATAGACAATTTTCTCATAATTGACCAAAATATTAAATATAATGAAGACTTTCATCCCCATAACCATGAAACTACTCAAAATTTTTGCAATATTCAAGATGAACCTGATTTATACTTTCTGTTTTTTTAAGAACCTTATTATAATAATCTCTCAAACTCTCAACTTCACAACTTTCAACTTTTCAATTTCTGTGATTAGTCATTTCAAGACACTTGTGACTCTCAGAATGTGCAGCATATGCAAAATCTTTATAATCACAATCCAACAACTTCTCCTGTTCCTTATGATAAATTCCTAAACTATACACCTTCAATAAAAAACTGTGAAAATGTATATAATGTTGTAACAAATTTAAGTAAAATGGCTGGTGAAAAATTTCAGGAAGAAGTATCACGTAACAAAATTCTGTTAGTGTTAAAAGAGGGACTACCTTTTCCAGATTGGGAATCTTTTAACACTTGGTTGAATCAGTTTATACAACAAGAAGGTTTTAATTATAGAATAAGAACAAGTGAATAAGAAAAGAACAGACTTAAGAGAGTTAATTATGTGTATGCAAAAGCTGGGATATATGATTCGAAAGTAATAGTAGATCCTAATAAACAGCATAATAACATATCTCAACGGACAGAATGTCATTGAAAATTAAATGTCACATTTTCTAAAACAGCATCTGTAGCAAAAATCAATTCTTTTAATGCTAAGTATAACCATCTACTTACCCCTATGATTAAAACAATTGCTTCTTAGTTTTGCAGGTTAATGCCTAAAATGTTGACTGATATTGAAAAATATATGATTTAAGGCAGAATAGATTCTGCATCAATATATTCATTGCTTAAACATAACTATCTGGAACATCCTTTATATAAGCATGACTTATATAATACCATATATAAATTTAGACAAAAAAACAACCCAGGCGATTTGGATGCTTTATCGATGCTCTAGACTCTTTTAAACTAGAAGAAAGAATTCCTTTATGGTTCATTAAAGTATATTTAGATCCTATATCTAGAAGACTCATTGTTTTATTTTGGATATCACCAACTCAGAGAGCTTTGTATGAAGTTTTTTATGATGTAGTTATTATGGATACCACTACGAATACAAATCAGTTTCAACCTTTGCTCTTTGTTATTACTGTAATTGGTAATCATTATAAGATGAGAATTATAGAATGTAGAGTTATTGAAGATAAAACATTAGATATATTTCAGTAGATTTTTGAGGCACTATATGAAAAACTGGTATAACTCCTATAACAATATTCACAGATAGCAATCCAGCTATAATAAGTGCAATTAAAAGTATATATCCAACTACCAACTATATTATATGCATATTTCATATAGATTTGAATCTTAAAAAACAATTAAGAAGAAAGTTGGGCTCTCAGTTTGAAGCATTTCAATCTGAATTCTACATTTGTTACAATAGCTTATGTGAAAGCCTTTTTGAATGTCGATGGACAAAATTATTAAATATTTATCTAGCAGCAGCAAAATACCTAAATAGTCTTTATATTAATAAAAGTTTGTAGGAATTTTCATGGATTAAAAATATATTTACAGGGGGTGCTCAAAGCACCCAAAGAATTGAGTTTATAAATATGTACATTCAATCTCATTATATAATTTACTTATAAGTTTCAATGAATATGTCAATTAAGAAGAGCATCTTATAAAATTTGAAATTCAACATAATGCACTTCTGATTAGGGTGATAAACGGACTAAGTAATCAAACCTATGTCAGATATTTTAATCATTTTACTATGATTAGGATTTTTATCACAGAAAATTAAATCATTTATTAAATAATTTGAACTTATAAAAAAAGCGCAAACTTTGAAAAGTT